TGCTGGCTAGGGAATTCTGGGAGTTGAAGTCCACACATCTTCAAGCTGCCAAGGTTGAGAATCACTGTTCTAGTGAATTAAGGAGTGAGTCTTATCCTCTTTCTCACACTTTGTCTGAGTCCTGGGCTTAAAGCACACTTTTGTTTTTTCAACCGTTGCCTTACTACTCCAAGGCCATCTCCTGCGCTCTCTACAGTGACCCACAGCTTGTCCAACCTTGCCAAACTGTATGCTGAAGCACATACAATTGAAACAACTGGATATACACCCCTCACACACACACAGATACACAAGCTACCCATTCCTCGGCTTTCCTTTTGTGTTAAACTTTACATTATAAACTCCGTGGGGGAAGGACCTTGTTCTAGATTTATACCTTGGCGTTACTATATATTCACGTTGGTGTTTAATATTTTCAAATATAAATCTGTACACAGGATTTGTGGCTTCAACAAGCAGGAAAAAAAATCTTTCCAACCTGAAACAGCAAACAGAAGTAATTCCTCACTCCTGAAACAAACAAACAAATGGGATTCTGGTCAGGATTGGTCATATTAGGTATGTATGTATGTATGTATTATATATGTTCAATTTATATATATTTATATACATATATAGTTGCTCATCTCAACAAGTGACTCTGGGCAGCAAACGGAATTAAAGTAAAATAAAAACAATAACAGACATTACCAGAATTTTGAGCATCTGGTGACTCCTACACATTGCTTATCATGAAAATAGCTGGTGAGATCTGGGTCTGATGCAACCACAGGCAAAAGGCAGATGTGTGCCAAGAAGATCCTACCTTGATGTCAAAATCAGAAGGTGTTTTTTTTTTCTGTCATGTCTCTGCAATACATTCACTGTTTGCATGCCATTATGTCTGCTAATGGAGATGATATAATATAAAAAAAAAATCCCAAATGTTTTTTGGTTTCAGTTTAAGTCCGTTGAAATGTCTGCTTTTGTAAATCACAAAGTAAAAATACTGTACATAGAAAATGGATGCATAAAGAAAGGTGCAAATAAAATTCAAGAGCGTAAAATATGAAACTAGTAACAGATGAAGAACTCTCTTGGTAAATAAAATAAGAATTTACTGAGTGCCTACCAGACAGCAAAGTGGGGACCAGCCATACTGTCTTGAGGACAGTATTTTGTCCCCAGGACACCACTAGTGGATGAAAAGCCAGCTACGAAGGCAATCACTTCTCCAACCCAGTTGCTCTCCTGCTTTGCCTTTAGCAGAAACCCGACACATGCATTCAACAGGTTCAGCTTTTCTTAAATTAGTGCATAGGTAGGGAGAAAATAATCTAAACACAGGAGCAGAGGAAGAACAGAAATAGGACAATAGGATCCACAAAAACTAAGCACAGCAGTTTGATCAACATGCAAATCTTTAAGTTTGAATGGCACGGGCTGCCATTTTGGCACCCATTGACTGTCTGAGAGCATACAGTAATATGTAGGACTCTACTTAAGGGGCTTGAATTGGGCATCTTTGTCAGCTGGCCCTGGGACTTGTTTTTGGAAGGTCACTAATGGTAGGCTCTCACATCATGCTAAATGATAGGGTTTGCATGGCTGGGCTTTGTATACCATGTGAACCCAGCCACTGCCATTTATAAGCCATGGTTTGTTGCAATGTCATGTATGTATCTAGCCATTGTGGTTAATAAACCATAGTGGCTAACAAACCACAGCTTAGTATATTTCAAGTATCCAACCAATATCTTTTAGATGCCTACACTAAATGCTAGTTTAATGGTGACATTGAGCTATAAAGCTCCTTCCTCCCCCATGTTACTCAGGATGTGAGTTCAAAACCTCTTTCTTTTTAGGAGGGTCAAGGTGAAACTTCGGCTCCCATCCTTCATGGAGGAAGCCTCAGCCTGGTACCACTTAACTCACGTTACACAATCATTTTCCCAAAAGCTGTTAAACCTCTTTCTTTTTCCTTATTTGTGATCCTATACAAATGCTGGGTTTTATTTGGTACAGGTCCTGTATTTTATATAGTAGCAGGTCAAAAGGCATCAGTGGTGCCTATGACTGAAAAGCTGAGCCTTGGATTCCTCTCGGTCACAGGAAGTATAGCAGCCCTGGCACATAATGTATGGATTCCAAAGAAAAAACAAGTTTGATTTAATTAGCCATAATGACTTGGTTCACATATGACATTAGGTTCTCACAACATACTAAACCAAAACCAAATATATTACATTATAGCTTAGTAAAATGAATGAACTCTGTCTATGATTTTAACAAGTAAAAGCTATCTATGAAAGGTATTAATTCCTAATTAATTCTTAATTAATTAATTCTTAATTCTTTGGTCCTTCTGGTCAAATAGGCTTTGCAGGTTTTTCAGAACAATTCCTATTGAAGGTGAACATGGGAAATCATTGAATAAAACTACTGTCTGTCTCTAGTTTTAACTCGGCTTAGCCTGATCCTTTATGCTAGACTTGTGTCTGGTGCATACAGTTGGGGTTTTTGCTTCTGGCAGTCTTTTTGTAATTCTGTGCCTTCCTTTCTGCTGTTCGTGTTAAATGGATAATTCTGATTTGCACATAATAAGCAGATGTGACATTTTGCACCCTACTGATCATGCTACACTTAGCTTGTTTATGTACTACTCCAGAAGTTGGTTGTAGAAAAAGAGTGAACAACCTTGGTGCCTTGAACAAGGGACCACCATAGACCCTTAATGAAGCCATTATGAGTACAATCCCACAGCTGCCTGACTATATGGATTTCATCAATAGAAACAAATTCTGCCAGGGTCAGGAGCCTGGAGACTGCAAGTGAGCTAAATCCCAGCAGCTGAAAAAAATTATACCAAGTTTGATTTTAGATTTGCATTTTTTAAAATTTGTGTGAGAAAAATACATTCTAAGGTGAGATTAGTGGAAAAAGCACAGAATTTGTATGATTATTATTTAAAGTAAACACTCCATATGATTTTTTAAGTGACACTTTGGCATTTGACTTGTGTCCATTGTGCTAGCAATACCAATATAAAATGAAGGTTTGCATGACTTGGGGAAGAGATCTCAGAGCCACAGAGGGAAGAACATGGGTAGCTTATAAGCAATATTCAGCTTTCCTGAATATTGGAAAATTTGCTGGGTGACAGAGCTCTGTGCCTTATCCCAGAATCCCAAAGCCTCTTGAAATTCACTCTTCCCTTCCACTGCTTGCTTCTGGGGGGCTTTGAGGTTCAAAGTGCTGGTTCTCTCTGCAACATTATCCTTGACAGAAAAATATATCAAATCCATTCTCAAAGACAAAGGTCTTTATATTACTACAGAGAACAGTATCGTGCAAAGTTAAGAGAGCAGAAACAGATGCTTATGTATCTGCACCCATTAGTCACTCATCTAAAGAAAACAGCCTTCAAAAAGTACTCTGTTGCTGTCTTTTAGATACCCCTTTGACGAGCAGGTAGTGGAATATGTAATTTCATTTGTCTCTTGCCCTCCAGCTGGACTGGTTCTGAGCTTCACCCCTCCAGTTATTCCCCACTGCCACATGCCCTATTTGGGAAGATGGTATGCAGCTGTCTGCATCCTTTTCTGCCTCAGGGCTATTTCTTCTTTGCCTCACCTGAACAGAAAACTGTCACGGAAGAAGATGCACCTGCTGAAATTCTCCCCATTAAAAGTAAGCTGGAGCTTGTCTACTGAATCCGGCCATTCCAGGAACATTTACTCCCTCCCTCCTCCCTCCTGCACAACCTGCAGAGCTCTTGCAAAGCCATCCTGCAAAAAGCCCTCTTCTTCCTTATAAGCCACACATACTCACTTGTATTAGGCAAGAAATGGGCTCCTCCTGGTCTCCTTCAAGTCTTCACTACGCAGCAGTAACTGGAAACATGAAGAAGCCCTTACTCCCTTCACTCCAGAGTCATGGAAAAAACGCTGAGCAGAATTCCTTAAGTTGCAATGACCAGACTTGGCCTGTGCTTTTCTTCCGTAAGCTACTTCTTAGCACATCTCTCCAACTCTCCCCCTTCCCTACCTCTGCTTTCCTCCTTCTTCCTCTCATCCTTCGATATCTGCCTCTGCTCTCCCCCTCCTGCTTTTGCTGTGTCTTTGTGTTAACCCTCCTACAGCCAGAACTGCTTATCCAATGCAATCCATCCATCCATCCATCCATCCATCCATCCATCCATCGTTTCTAGCCTCTTCCCTAGGCACTATATTGCCTGTACAACAAGGATATGTAGGAATGTAAAGCAGAGAATATACATCTTATATATTGCTCCCAGCAATGAAAGCGGAGCATATTTGTGCCACTCAGGACTATATTTTCAGCTACAGCTAAACAGTGTCCTCTGAATGACCATGGAAAAAATGACAACCCGGACTATAACCAACCAATTTTCTACACATGCTGGCATCGACAGATTAGGTTTCCAGAATGTACTGGGAATTTTCCTTTCCTTTCCTTTGCCTGGGGCTGCAAGGACCATCAGGTTACTATCACCTCAAACAGGTTTTTCAAGAATTTATTTCATAGGCAGCGTTTGCCTTATATAATGGTATAGGTTTCATACCAGTGATTAGTCTCCTTTGGACTGATAGGAGCCTTGTGTATGAAAAAATGGTTTCAGAATCTGGCAATATGCTTTAGTTTTTTTATACAAATGGCAAAATGCACGCTTTGCATGCAGTATGCTCACACATCAAATAACAGAATAAAGGTGAAAAGAATATGATTTTCATAATGATCCAAAATTGCAGTTTGAATGTTGACAAAAAAAGTCTCCAGAGCAGATGAATTATACGGAGGAAAAATGTCAGGAAGCCTTACACAAAATAGTTAATAACTATCCACTTAATGTTCTGCAAGCTGATGGGCTTGAGTCAGCCAAAAATTATCACTCTGAAGTCCCATTCAGTTGCAAGAGGTGAGAGTGAAGCACACCCGTTATAGTGAAACATTGAACTGAAACCTCAGCGCATTCAATTTGAGATCATGCTTTATGTCTAGAAAGCTGTTGTCATAATTATGAATTCCTGTCATTGGGTGGGTTCATGCTTATCTGTATTTCCTATCACTGCCTAACTGGTGACACTATTTGGGATTAAACTGAGAGGCTCACTGAGGTGTCATTTTCCTTTGTAAAATACATGACATTCCTTGACTCTTTTGTTCCCACAGTAATCCTATAAATAAACCCAAACCCAGTTCAGGATTTATACAAAAGAAGCGGTTTGCACATTATTAAATAAATAACTCAGTAACCATGCCCTTTTAAAGCTGGGTACTTTAGGTCAAGCAAGACTCACTGATCAAGATCATGCTGCAAACCTGTCTGTGGCATATAAATCATCTCTGCCTTTCAGGTTAAAGTGCAACACTCTTTTCATGCCATAATGAACACCATAATACCCAAAAAGTTACATATGTTATCAAATGGCAGCGGGCAATAGAAATGGTAATGCATGTGTTAATAATAATGGGTGTAAACTTAGACTATTATTATCCAAATACATCTCTTGTATCTTTTTATTTGAAAAGTGGGGTAATGTTATATGTAGCAAGACCCTGGAGTCCGTATGTATGGTGACAAATGTGGTGGAGTTAGTTCAAAGAGCCCATGAGGTGAAGTTTTGCTAGATGGCATATCACAGTCCAGTCTACCTCAGTGGGTTGTTGGGAGGGTAAAGAACTTGGCAACTTTGTTCCTTGGTGAAAGAACAGAAGTTGTTCTAAATAAATTAAATTTGCTCTTAACTCTAAAATACATTTTCATAAAGGATGAAAAGCACTAAGAAAGGCTAGGATTTAGGACCAAGAGATAGAGCTTCAAGACAACTTTACATCTCAATACAGGTAGTTGTCGCGTAATGACAACAATTGGGACTGAAATTCCGGTTGCCGAGTAATGCAGCCATTAAGCAAATCCGGACCCAATTTTATGATCTTTTTTTGTGGTGGTCTTTAAGTGAATCAATGTGGTTGTTAAGTGAATCACATCATTAAGTGAATCACATGGTTTCCCATTGATTTTGCTTGCCAGAAGCCAACTAGGAAGGTCACAAATGGCGATCATGCTGCAACCATTGAAAGTGCAAGCTGGTTGCCAAGTGCTGGACCGTAATCATGTGACCATGGGGGTGCTGCGATGGTCATAACTTTGGGCACCGGTCATAAGTCACTTTTTTTAGTGCTGTTGTAACTTCGAATGGTCGCTAAACAAATGGTCTTTAAGTGAGGACTAGCTGTACAACATGAGATTTATATGCTGGTGGTACTACTCCAGGTAGAGACTGGGATAACTTCTGTAAGAATAGCAACACACACAGACACACATTTTTTAAAACTATTGGCTCAAGCTATGGCTCTTCACTTCCATCTATAATAGGCAAAGAATGTTTTTTGGAACAAATGCAGGCTGATTTGTCATGTGGGCTAAATCTACCCATCAGAAGCTCCTAGCTTAGGAGCTCTCCCCTTCTGCTGCAGAGGAAATCATAAAGATCCATGTTTATCATAAAAATCATAAAGATCCATGTTTATGACTATGCAATCACATTAGATTTTATTGCCTTGGCAAATAACAGGGTATGACTTTTTTAAAAAAGATTTTTTATCCCACCTTTATTATTTTTTATAAATAACTCC